CGCACGCACGCGCGCGCGTCAACGGGGTGCGAAAAGCCTGAATAGTCGGCGTCGGGGGACGCGGCGCCACTTTCAAGTTCGCTAATCTCCAGGACGTCCTTCCCCACCTCCGTCCGGTTTGACGGAACAGTTGTTTAAAAAAAAAAAAAAAGGACCAAACTCTCGGTGGGATCACTGTGCACGCGCGAGAGCGAGCGAGCGAGCGAGCGCGCGCGTGTTATTTATCAACCACATGCCACTGCCCCGCCGAAAACGCACAAAGACCACCCTATGCGCTATTCTTAGAAGTGGCCGATCCACTCCCCGGCTCTGCGCAGCACAGCGCACCGCCGGGATCAGATTCAGCCCCGCCGGAGGACTGTTTTAGATTAAAAACAAATCACATGAAAGCTCTGGATCAAAAATAACACACAAAAAAACACACATCTTGGCCGTTAAAGTAGGTATACCACGACAGAGCGGAGCACGTTTCCCGTCCCCGGCCCGGGGGGATTTCACATCACACACGCTGGTGGAAAAAGCGATTTCATTTGCCATTGATTGCCTCACCTGGTTAATTGGTGCAAGTTCCAGCCGCGGTCCGACTCTCACCCCTTTTTCCTTTTCTTTTTTTTGTTGTTGTTCCTCCTGTTTTTTGGCAAGTTAACTGGAAGGGCAGCGTACGTAGACTGGCCCGGTTACGGTCCTGTCTGCCGGAGACAGACGATCCCGAGCAAAGAAAAAAAAAAACTGAAAAAAAGAAAAAGACGTCTAAAAGTGTCTAACAGGTTATCCACTTGTCACGAAACGACTCAAATCTTACATATGAATCACTTTCGGCTCGATTTGACTGTCTACAGACAACTCTCCTCCATACCTTAGATTTAAAGCGGACTTTTTGGAGCTAAAAATGTCACTTGGGTTTCCATAGAGCAACACACACACACAAAAAAAAAAGATCTTGCGCGGCGGAAGAAAAAAAAAAGATAGAGACGGACGTCAGGACGCAGAGAAATCCACAAAAGAAAATCCTCCCGAGGTCCTTTGAGTAAAAAAAAAAGGTCTGCGCGGATCGGCCCGGGATCGACACAGGTGGCGACGATCGGCGGGATTCGCGGAGAAATTAATTCAGCTCGGCGGTACCTCGCAGCAGCGCCATGTTGGGTCTGAACGGAGCACGCCGTGCTCGGAAAAAAAAAGCCCCTTTCCTCCCGCTCTCCGTCACTCCATGTCCTCCGCAAGAGCGGAATCCGCGCGTCGGAGGGGTTTGGCTGAAGGTTATTCCGAGTCGCTTTTCGTCCCGCTTGTTGTTTCGCTTTTTTTGGGGGGTTGTTTTTGTTTGTTGTTCTGTGTGTTTTGTGTCTGTATGTGTGTGGATTGTTGTTGTTGTTCGCTGTCCAGAATCGCGGAGAAAAAAACAGCCCGTGTCGGAGCCCCCCTCGGTTTAGCACCGGGGACGCGCGCGGAGCCTGTACGGGGAGTGCCGCGCGGAATGGATGAACGCTGCCGAGACCCAGCGACTCGCTCCACTCCCACTCGCGCAGACTCTACCCAGAAGGCCAGTCGGGAGACCGCAATTACCATAAGCCTCCAGCACACGGCACTGGCTGCGCGCGCACGCACACGCGGAGAACGCACACACACGGGAAACGCGTAAGGCAGCACATACACATACGCACACACACTGACACACACACACACACACACACACACACACACATACAGCAGCTCCGCTGAAACTCAAAGGCAGGAATAGGTAGGGTTTTAGAAACACCGTCAGTCGGAGCTACAGCAAGAATATAAAACGACAACCAAAAAAAGTCACTTTAAAATGAAAAAGTTGATGTTTCCATATGAAAACGACGTTTAATCCACAATCAGCTTTATAGGCCAAACGATGTCTGTAAAGTAATAATTGAATAACAAAAAGCCGGACAGCTACACATACAGCTGTTTTGGGTTTTTTTTGTGTTTTTTAAAACGACTCTTAGTAAAAATGGGGTCTTCACTATTGGCCCTTTCTCAACCCCATTTTCCTTCCCCCGTTGAGACTGTACGGGGATATATTCCGATTAAATGTCATTAAGGCTTTTCCTTTTGGGGGGGGGGTTAAATTGGAGATAAATCTGTGAAACACCGGGCAGTAGAGACAGGGGAGGGGGGGGGGTGTGCGGCGCCGAGAGAGGGAGGGGGGGAGGCAGCTCAAGGCTGGGGCACATCTGTTAAGGCTCCCATGTCAAGTAAAGGAGGAGGAGGCTATGAATATCAAGCCTGAGGTGTGTGCATCATGTGCCTGCTTGTGTGAGAGCGTGCGTATGTGTGTGTGTGTGAGAGTGTGTTTGTGTGTGCGAGTATAGGAGAGAAGCAGAAACGAACTCCGGTAAAAGAAAGGCCGGCAGACAGACAGACAG